CAAACCTTAATAACCCAAAAAGTTCTTAATAAAAAAATTCTTTGTTATAGCGTTTTGGAAAGCTCTCGAAGTCAGCTACAAAAATATGTAATAAAAAATAGGGGATGCCATTTCAAAAAATTGGTGTGACCTTTATGAAACCTTCAAATAATTCTTCGAGGTCAAACCAATGGTACTATCTTATGGCCCCCTCGAAACCAAACAACTTTTGTCTGAAACATTTTTGTCTGCCGTTCTCGGATTTCGAGATATTTGGCTGATACGGGTGGTCTGGGACACCCTGTATATTCCCTACAGGGTGTCTGACACAAGAGGACCCCTACGAAAAATGGTGATAGATTAAGTCAGATTAACAATAAGAAGAAAAATCATATACCATTTTACAAAATTCGCAATAGTTATCGAATAATTTAGTGAAACGTCTGAGCGAATGAGCGCGTAGAGAGCGGTACGCCGGGCTTGGGGAAGGCATGTCAGATAGCTTTGTACATCAAATCATTTCGTCGGTATGATAGATTTCCTAACCCCAAAAGTTGTCAACTTTAACAATTAATATCTCGCTTCGCGGGACAGAGCGACGATTTTGCCTAAGGAAAAAGTTGTTTCTCGTTCAAAAACGCGTCAAATGAGACTAATTTTATTTATTTCTGAGGTGCCGGAGTGCTATACTAACGTATTACCTAATTTTCTAACAAAGTAAATATACAGGGTGCTCCCGGATTAAATGGCAAAACTTGAAAGATGTATTTAGGACCTCAAAGCAAGATAAATTTTCCTCTGGAAATATGCTCGTAAACGTTCCATTCACGAGAAATTGACTTCTGAAGTTATGAACTGTTAGGAATGAATAATTTCGAAATAATTTAGATTTATCCTCTTTATTGCTTTTTAATAATAAAAATTTAATTATTAAACGTTTTGTTCAAAATGATGGCCTCCAGCTTGGAGACATGCATTGCACCTATCGATGACAGAATGAGTGGCAGACTGACATTGTGCGTCTGTAATTTCGTTACACGCCTGCACTATCCTCCGTTTTAATGATTGAAGATCATTAACAGGCACTTCATACCAGTTTATTCGATGAAAGCATTCAACGAACTAAGTACGATGATACGACGCTTTGTTTACCATGCAAATAAAAGCCTATCAATGACCTTCGATTTCGTAAACAAAGTTCCGTCGTACTGTATGTTTTGCGATTGGTTTTTAAATCAAACAAATTAAGATATACAATTCTCGCAAAACATTTTATGGACAGATGAAGCCATATTTACCAGACAAGGAATTCTGAATCAAAGAAATAGTCATATTTCGAAATTATTCATTCTAAAAGTTCATAACTTTAGACGTCAATATCTCTTGAACGGAACGTTTACGAGCATATTTCCAGAGGAAAATTTTTCTTGCTTTGAGGTCCTAAATACATCTTTCAAGTTTGGCCATTTAACCCGGGAGCACCCTGTATACAGGGTGTTGTGTGTAATACACGCCTCACCTCTTATTTACGGATGGAGTAGACTAGACTAACAATGAGTCAAAAAGTCCTCTATTAATCTGCAATTTTCGCAATAGCTATCGAGTTATTGATTATTAAAAAATCGCTATCTTAGCCCGGCCTACCACCCAATTAAAGCGCGCTGAGAGATGTGGTTGTCCCGCAATCTGCGTTGCTAAGCGCACGGGGAGTTGTTTATTATACGTAGCCCTTGCCGTGTGTCATAAACAATTCCCCGCGCGCCTAGCAAAGACAATCGCGGGATGGCCGCATTTCACCGCGAGGTTGAATTGGACGGTAGGCCAAGACAGCGATTTTTAATAATCAATAACTCGATAACTATTGCGAAAGTTGCAAAATAACAGAGGACTTTTTGACTCATTGTCAGTCTAGTCCGCTATATCAATAAGTAAGAGGTGAGGCAGGTATTATATGGTATGTGACATCCTGTATATTTACTTTATTAGAAAATTCTTACCACAAATTTATTTAGAAAGACTACTATTTTGGGAGATCTTGTTTCCTAAAGATTTTCGGAGTTGCTGATTTTAATTTTGGCTTCAGAATTCTAAAATAGTGGATCTAATATTATATACATATGGGTAAATATTCACTATAGGGGAGTCAGCTCCGATGACCTTGACCTTGACATATGTTGTCAAGGTTACCCTCCTGAGTAACGCTCAGAAGATTTTAGCCGTCGTTCGTTGTTTGTTAAAAAGTTATTAAAAAAACAATGTCGACCAATTATATGTAATTTTCAGACACAAATATTAAAAATTTTGAAAAATGTTTTAAACAAAAGTTGTAGATCTCTTTGAAATATACATTTTATGTCCTATTCATTTTTACTGTGCGAGTAATAGTTTTCGAAAACAATGATGGACTCTAAATCTTATATCTTTCCTCCCATCTCCATCTGTCGTATGTCATGGAAGTACATGGAGGCAGTACGTTCCGCCCCCCCCTACGGGGGGGCTCCACCTCGTTAAAATACATATAACCCTACCCACACTATATCCGAGATGTGGTGCGGATCTCGCTTCACGTGGAAAGTCGCAAACCCATGTGGAACAGTACAACGACGGAAGTACATCTGTGGAGACAGTATGTTCCGCCCCCCCCTGCGGGGGGGCTCCACTTTGTTAAGATATAACCTAACCTAACCCAAACTATGTCCGAGGTGTGGAGTGGATCTCGCCTCACGTGAAAAGTCGCAAATCCATATGGAATCGTATATGTACTACAAAGCACATGCTTAGATGAGAGGACAGATATAAGATTTAGAGTCCATCATTGTTTTCGAAAACTATTACTCGCACAGTAAAAATGAATAGGACATAAAATATATATTTTAAAGATATCTACAACTTTTGTTTAAAACATTTTTCAAAATTTTTAATATTTGTGACTGAAAATTACATATAATTGGTCGACATTGTTTTTTTAATAACTTTTTAACAAACAACGAGCGACGGCTAAAACCTTCTGAGCGTTACTCAGGAGGGTAACCTTGACAACATATGTCAAGGTCAAGGTCATTGGAGCTGACTCCCCTATAGTGAATAATTACCAAATTTAAAAGAGAACCTCCAATAAAATTTTATGATTAGATTATGTTTTAAAAGTTCATCTGTCATCTTGAATTTTGTATTTTTAATCTCGGATTCAAATAAAGCATTACCAAATTCCTCCCCCCCCCCCAGTTATTGAAATAGGCCAAGTTTTATAAGTCTAGTGAGCAGCTAATAAATTATTTTATAAAGACGGCAGCTATTAGTAATAGTGATTGCTCGTCCTCAAAAAATTTTGTATTATAGTAAGGTTTGTATCATATATTTCATATTGTACATAAAAAATACAATATATTTTGTGAATTATTTCAGTCCTTTTTTATAATTATATTTTAACCTCTTAAAACGCATGGTCATTGCACCCTACCGCCCGAATTTACTTGAGCTCGAAAAGAAAATGATCTATTTTTATGTCGCTAAATTGACGTATTCAAGTCAACTCATCTTTTTTTATTTTTACTTCATACAATTTGTTAGATTTTGACCAATATTTTTCTCAAAAAATTCTTTAAAAATTTTAATTATAGTTTGGAAATATAAATTTTCTTTAAACTTGATTATTCGTTACTGTTGTTGATATTTCGATTTTTTATAATTTTAATTACAAAACCAACTAATCAAATCACAGTCCTTTCCCCTCCATTTCTAAACTTTGGTAAGAAAATCTCTCTTTAAAAAAATATTGAAGTTTACGAAAATTATTATGGTTAAATATTTTATTTGATTAATATTGTAGAAATGAACAATAAAAGGAAATGTAAATTTAATTTTCGTATGCAATTAACTTAAAGATAGGCTATCTTTGAAGGTATAAAATCTAAATCAAAATTTTAAGTATGCATATTACATTTGTAGAAAGAAGATACATGGAAAAAGCACTTTCTAATAGAGAACGGTTTTGCATTGTAGATACACATATAGTATCTTAGTAGACTGTTACAACTTGACATAACGAGGAAGATAACGGGATGTAATCAGCGCGACTACGCATTGTCTACACAATGTTTATTCTCGAACTGCACTGCATGAACATTCTGGAGCCTGTCTTTTATCTTTGTTATCTCTGAAAAGATAATTGGATTCGCAGCACTGTTCTTTTCCCAGTTTCTCAAGCGCGGTCATAATTAATCACTTTTCATTAAATTCAACAATTTATCGTGATGCGTAATTGTTCATAGGAAGCAGCCAATGTGAAATTTGCAACTAATTAAAACAGAATTAAATATCTTAAAACTTTTCATTAATTTAGCAATTTACAAAACGGATTAAATAATTAAAATATTTGGCAAAAAAACTAATAATATATCATTTTAAAGATACATTATTTTATATACTTTTCATACACATTATATTCTCTTAACTATTTTTTTCCATTGAAATCGAAGGAGCCTTTCTTCGAAAAAAAACGGCATTTAATATTCAAATTAAAAAATTATTAAGAATTTATAAATTTTATTAATAATGCCTAACATATTCTTAAAGTACGACAAAAGAGCTTTAAAAATCACTATTCATTTTTAAAAATCGGAACATTTTATCGGAAGTTACAGACCTTACAATATGGGCAAGACCCTTTGATCTAGGGTAAAAAAATTTTCCCTGCAACTTTGTTGTCTATAGGACTAATGATTGTGCAAATTTCAACACGATTGAAAAACTTTCCATTTTTAGGGTGGTACGTTTCGTATGGAATGCCCCATATGTATAAAGAACATAATGTAAAAAGTATTAATAAATATTATTAATTGTACTTTATATAAAAATAATATATAAAGATTTATTAATCGTTAGCACTACGTCATTAATGTAACATTTCCTAGGTGGTAGAAGAAATGATTTTCAAAGTATGTAATACAAGAACCTGCATCAACATGGCAATACGATAATCATTGAAGAAAATGATCATGTTATATGTAACCATTACGTACATCGTATGCTGGAACGGTATCCTTGTCGCGTACAATGGGCGAATTGTACCTAGGTATTATTAAAGCCATTTTTTAATAGCGGATATCTCCCTTTCTCCCTCTTTCTCTCTCTCCTCTGTCTGCTCTTCGTCTGTAGTCCACACATCTACGTAATGTTTTTCGTTGTTTCTTAACATCCGTAATACTTTCACGTTTCTCACGTGCAAAACAATTTAATCGATCACCAGGTATCTTGCAATAATCACATATCCCAACTTGTAACTTCCGAACTCACTTATCAGTTTCGACGAAGCTTCGTTTTAACTACCACAGTCACATCAAAATCCTCGATTTTTACACGCACAATTTTGAACTCTAACTTTTCACTTACGCCAGTCTATTGAATTCTCGAAAACACTTTATATAATAATTTATCATTTGCAATAGTAGAGATATGAAACGTATGTAAACCAAATTAAAAAAATAACAATTTCATCAATTTTCAATTACTGCGATGATACTATTCCGTTTTTCTTTTGTGCAAATAGCCTCTAAATCAAATTCTAACAATTCTGATTTCAATTTTTTGAGGGTACAATATAGATAATAACCATGTTTTTAATTACATTTTCGTAAAAAAAACGGATATTATATTGTATATTTAAAATTAAATTTTATATAATTTGATCCAATTTTTCATCAATATTTGACGGCATATAAAATGTGATGTACAATACATATGGATTAAAAATATTAATGATATTAAAGTAACTCGATTGATTCTGACTCCAGTATTTGTTCTTCTTTTGCCACAAATTTTAACATTTGGTTTATAGCTTTTACCAGTATTTTTAGAATATTTTCGAAAATCATTACACCATTGAAGTTTTCGAGATCTCTTTTAACTCAATAAAATAACTCAATAAAAAATACGTTAGAAAATCTTTAGGCAACTTTAGAAAAATATAGAGAAATATACTCAGATAGATGAGTTCACAACTCATTATAAAAACTGCCAAATGTAAACTGTTCATGATACTATCTTACTTTAATTACGTTACACTCCATGATTACGCGTACGCACGGGTAATATACGTACGTGTAATACAAGTTATAATTACAAGTAAAAATATGTGCAGAGTGTCATAAAAAGGTGGTATTTCTTGTAAAACAAGCAATTTTAGGGATTTCTTTTTCTGATAAAAATTTTGTTGAAAAAACTTAAAATCTTGTAGTTGTACATAATGTTTTATTACTTCATTATCATTTCCAGTATTTCACCAATATCACACCAGTATTGACGTCTAGTACAGCGCCAATACTCATTGTCAATGCTAGAAATCGGTACTGGGCTATTATTTTGCTAATATGTTTCCCCACATAAATTGTTAAAAAATGAAAAATATTCTCTCTAATGATATCTTATGATTTTCGTAAGAATTAAACGGAGACAAATAGATAATGTGAGTGTAAAATTTAGAGTTAATCGGTTCACTAGTTTTTAGGATAACATGACAATCCTCGAGAACGAACACTTCGGAATATTACACCTTAAACTTTGATAAATATTAGTTGTGTTCCTGTGAAATGTGGGGTAGAAATGATAATAAAACATATTCGCAAAATTATAGTTTCTAAGTTTGTACGTTTATCGGAGAAAAATCTTAAAAATTATCTATGTTTTAAATACTTTTAAGCGAATATCTAAGAGAATTGTATTTGCAAACGATTTTCGTACGGCTATTATTCCTCTTAATTTTTACACAAATGTACAATTAACGACTTTAATTTTAAATTTTCAAAATTTAACACAAAACTTGCTGTTTATTTGAAGAAAAGTACTTCGCAAGAGAGAGGCAGATGTAAAATAAAAATTCTACCAGCACAAATTTTAAATACGTCATCACAGTCACCATTTGTCCTTTATTTTCTTGCATTTTCTGTCTCCGCAACAAACAGAATATCACTTTGCGCGGAAAAACTTGATACACGTCGATTTTAAATCCTGTGCAATGTTGATAAACAATGAAATTTCTATATCTGTAGTACCAAAAGAACAAGAGATACCAAGCGGAAAACGACGACGAATAAGAGTGACGACGGACGTCCAACTCTATACTGAGGTACGCCAACGGTTCTGCCGTCTGACTGTGATCCCCACTCACTCTCACCTCTTACCTGCCATACTTACGACCGTACTTTTTTTATATTACGCGCATGTGTTCTGTCACGTGTCTTTCTATGTGTATGCAATACGTGCATGTATATGCGTGCGTACACGTATGATAGTGAAAGATATACTCATCGTATTGCATCTCAAAACTTATGAGAATTTCCTTAACTCTCCAAGGTCTAGAGAGACATATACAACGTAATTCTTAAGTAAGTAGAAAAAAATATATTATATAAGACTATAATTTTGCTTATTTTATAAAGAAAATGTCCTGAAGTGCTTTGTTTTTAAAATTTACAAATTTAATGGAAAAATATAAAAATCTAAGAAAATGTTTACATACAGGATTTTATTCAAATTTTCATGTGCGCACACATAGTAAAAACGATTTTTTAGTACCGATAAAATACTTATAGATCCACCAGAAGCGTATGGATATTTTTGTTTTTTTATGAAAAATATTATAATATGTCAGTTTTTTCTAAGTATAACAATTTTTTTGAAATCTTGAACTAAAATTCAGCAAAAACCATCTCTGTATTTTGTTTTAAGCGGTTAATCGTTTTCAAGTTAAAGTAAAAATTTGGTATCCCAGATAGCACAGGTGATCCATATGAACTCAAAAAGAATTCACTTTTTAAAATTCTTTATGAATTACTTTAATCTATTCCAAATGAACTCAAATGTAGTTCTTTCCGGTAGTTCAAAAAGGACTCCATAGAAGTATACCTTTCGACTTCTTATAGGATCAAATTAAAGTATTCTGAAGAAAGTCCTTTTCCTGTTAATAATGGGTTCGAAAAGAATTCCTTTTTGGTGTACTCAATACACAATTGTCTCCTCTATCATCGCACATCTGGCGGCTGAAAATCGAAGTAAAAACATCATCTGGATATCGATGGAATTTTTCACGTGAAAAGTTTCATTGAGTTCAACCAATGAAATCGTTGAGTTTGTGTGAAAACGTTCACTTATCACGAGTTCACGCTAGAAGAAATGATTTATGATCAAGCCCATGATCGACCTACCCACACCATTGTCATTTCAAGACCTGTATGGTTATATTCGGAAACATCACCCGAGTGTTCCCATGTATCATATTTTATCCTTGTTGTTCACCGAATATTAAACAAGGATAAATGATGCATGTAGCACTCAGGTGATGTTTCTGAACGCAGCCTATGTAAGACCGTGGTTCGTTGTTTCCGAGAGCGTTATCCCTAGTCTGGACCTGGACGAAAGCAGTTTATGAATCCATTAAGGGGATGCTGGAGTGATTCTGCACTTTCGCACCTTTTGCACTTAAAACTGTCTGTTTCGTGGAAAGATTTGTGTAATACACAAATTAAATGGCACGTGTACAGACGATCGAAAGCAGCTTGCTATTCCGGCTAAATTAAAGAACAATGTGGCATCACTGAAACTAAGTTTGTAAGTCTAATAAGAAATAATAGTGAGCAACACACATACTACATGTACTGTTTGTATGTGTTGCTCACTATTATTTCTTATTAGACTTACAAACTTAGTTTCAGTGATGCCATATTGTTCTTTCATTTGGCCGGAATAGCGAGCTGCTTTCGATCTATACACGTAAGCCATTTAATTTGTATATTACACAAGTGTTTCCGCGAACTGACAGTTTTTAGGTTAGAAAGGTGCAAAAGTGCAGAATCACTCCAGCATCCCCTTAAGACCGAAAAATGAATCCTTTTATAGTGCTCCATTAGAATACTATCTAAAAATTATTTGTGATTCATTGCGAATTCTTATGGAGTATAATAAGAGTCCTTTTGGTATGCGAAAAAGGGCTCCAAATTGGTGACATAAAAGTGAGTTCTTTTGGAACTCTTAAGAATACATTTAGAATAGAAATGGGACAGATAAAGAATTCATTTCATAATTTGGGAATTCAAAAAGAATTCTTTTTGGATTCTTTGTGCTATTTGGGATTAAAACTGTAAAACTTAATTTTTAATCTAAACTTGATTTATTTTAATTAGAAATTAAAGAGACCGTTTTTAGGACCGGGCATAGGTGTAAGTAGCC